TGTCATGTGCCTTTTACTGAGGAGTGTCTTCTGTCTGGCCACTCTACTATAAAGGCCTGATTGGTGGAGTGCTGCAGAAATGGTTGTCCTTCTGGAAGGTTCTCCCATCTCCACAGAGGAACTCTGGAGCTCTGTCAGAGACACCATCAGGTTCTTGGTCACCTCCCTGACCAAGGCCCTTCTCTCCCGATTTCTCAGTTTGGCCGGGCGGCCAGCTCTAGGAAAAGTCTTGGTGGTTCCAAAGTTCTTCCATATAAGAATGATGGAGGCCACTTTGTTCTTGGGGACCTTCAATGCTGCAGAAATGATTTGGTACCCTTCCCCAGATCTGTGCCTCGACACAATCCTGTCTCTGAGCTCTATCGACAATTCCTTCGACCTCATGGCTTGGTTTTTGCGCTGACATGCACTGTCAACTGTGGGACCTTATGTAGACAGGTGTGTGCCTTTCAATTGAATTTACCACAGGTGGACTCCAATCAAGTTGTAGAAACATCTCAAAGATTATCAATGGAAACAGGATCCACCTGAGCTCAATTTCGAGTCGCATAGCAAAATGTCTGAATACTTATGTAAATACAGTATTTCTGTATTTTTTTTTATTTTGCTGCACAAAATTGATTTATTTTCGCTTTGTCTTTACGGGGTATTGTGTGTAGAATGATGAGGAATTTATTTTTATTTTATCCATTTTAGAATAAGGCTGTCACGTAACATATTGTGGTAAACATTAAGGGGTCTGAATACTTTCCAAATGTACTCTGTATGTACGTGTGTATGTATGTACGTGTGTATGTATGTATGTATGTACGTATGTATGTATGTATGTATGTATATTTGTATGTGTGTATGTATGTACGTGTGTATGTATATATGTATGTGTGTATGTATGTACGTGTGTATGTATGTACGTGTGTATGTATGTATGCATGTATGTATGTATGTATATATGTATGTGTGTGTGTATGTATGTATGTATGTATGTATGTATGTATGTGTGTATGTATGTATGTGTGTATGTATGTACGTGTGTATGTATGTATGTATGTATGTATATATGTATGTGTGTATGTATGTATGTATGTATGTGTGTATGTATGTATGTATGTATGTATATATGTATGTATGTGTGTATGTATGTATGTATGTGTGTATGTATGTATGTATGTATGTGTGTATGTATGTATGTATGTATGTATGTATGTATGTATGTATGTATGTATGTATGTATGTACGTGTGTATGTATGTATGTATGTATGTATGTGTGTATGTATGTATGTATGTATGTATGTATGTATGTATGTATGTGTGTATGTATGTACGTGTGTATGTATGTACGTGTGTATGTATGTATGTATGTATGTATATATGTATGTGTGTATGTATGTATGTATGTGTGTATGTATGTATGTATGTATGTATGTATGTATGTATGTATGTATGTATGTGTGTATGTATGTATGTACGTGTGTATGTATGTATGTATGTATGTATGTACGTGTTGGTGTAATGGTGTGTAGCTGACTGACTCTAGCTGTCTGACTGACTCGTAATGAAGTGAGAAAGGCTGCTCATTATGGTGGGAATGAAATAGATGGAATTGTGGGGAGGGAACGGGGGTTCTAATTAACTTTGAAATGTGATACCTCATAATCCCTATTAACTCTGTGAGTAATTGCATTTCGCAGCCAGCAAATGGGTTCTCAATAGGGTGGCGGGCTAAGAGATGACCTGGTACAAGCAGATGTTGGTAAAAAATACATGTTCAACATTGTGTCGTGTACAAATTCGATTAAACTCAGTTTGGACTCAATTTGTTCTGTCAAACATGAAACATTACCCTTTTTAATAGGCTAGTAGACGCATACAAACATTCTATTGGCTGGGATGGCTCAGGTGGCCTCTTCTGTCATCCTGGCCCCCCATCCTTTTACCTAGGTTCTTCAGGTGTGGCATCACTGTGTGTGTGTGTGTGTGTGTGTGTGTGTGTGTGTGTGTGTGTGTGTGTGTGTGTGACCCCATGCAAAACAACTAAAACTATTGAAAAAGAGCCACTTGTTTCAAGTGGTTGAAGTTAAGTTAGGAGGAGATAGCAGTGAGTGAAATAAATTTTTTTCTTTGGGCTTCTCCCGAAATGCCCTACAAATCTTGAAGGACTTTTTAGTTCTCTTATTCACATCATTTGAATAATTCAATTGTAAAAAATAAAAAAATAAAAAACAGCGGAATAAACAAATGTGAGTATGAATATTCAAACATCAGGTTCATTCGATATCGTCTTTTAAAGCCTTTTGAAAACATTGCAACCGCATGCACAATCTGCTATGCAGCTGCCGCCGTTTACTAATGTATACCCTGCTGTATTCATTTATTCCCGGATATTCCTCACAACAGAACTTGTGTTGGGATCGTTTGCCCGCATATTTTGCATATATAGCTCAAGAATCCAAATACACTTTGCTTAGGTCTCGGTAAGTGGCCCCCTCTCATGTAGTCTCTGAACAAATATCCAAAAGGCCGCATTTCATCAAGGACAGTATTAGCTTTTTCAGCTCATTAAAGTATAACAAAAAAAAAAAACTAGAAATACGGAATTCCAATTGGATTCTTGCCCAAATAATTCAAACAGTGCTCGTTGTGACAGCGGGGCTTTGTGTGTGATGGCGCACGTGGACAAATCGAACTGGTGCCAAAAAAGTAAAGTCACCTTTATAATAATAATAATGATAATATGCCATTTAGCAGACGCTTTTATCCAAAGCGACTTACAGTCATGCGTGCATACCTTTGAATGAGCTAGTCTGAAGGAGACGCAAAGTCAAAAACAAGTGTGTTGTGCTCTGAATAGAATTAAGGAGAACACTATAATAACGTTGATATATTCTATATGTATACTTTGAATATAAATTATATTTATTTGTTTTGTCTACTTAGTTAGGATAATTAGCTTGATTTATATGTGGCCTGTAATGCATGTTTTATTTGTTACCACTTTGCCTTGCAGGGGCCTCCTTCACAAGCTGACTGACTCCATAAAACAAACCGGAGCTGTACATGTTCATTATAAATTATTCTAAAACAATCCTGACATTTGTAACTTTTCATCATCACTTATGAACATTTCAGATTAAAGGGAATGTGTCTTCTCCAAATGTCGAGTTTGCGGTGAATCACATCTTATGTGGTTTGTACTTCTATAATTCTATGAAACGAAATATCTAAAACCTAATTAAAAAATATATATACGTTCCTAGACGAGTTCAAGAAGTTGAATAACAATTTCGGGATATTTGATTTCTGAATGACAAGTTTGAAGTTTCAACTGTATTTGTCCGAGAGAGGGCTATTGGTTTTACGAGGGTATAAAACATATACTGTATAATCCACATGTAAAACAATATTACACACACGTAAATCATGATGTTGCTAACAAAAGTGAGAGCTCAAAATTAAGCAGTCTGGACTCACTGTGAATAGAATCTGCATGTTGTGGATTTCTTTGTCCTCAGTTGAATTGAACAGAGGGGGACAGTTAGTCATTGTTAGTCAATCATAATTCTGATCAACGAAAAAACAGGTTTCAAATGTATTGCCTACGTTTATTAAAGTGTATTGTGTTTCTAATTTGGTTTTGCACGAAAAATAATTTACTAAAGGCCCATGACTATTGTTTAAACATAGACTTTAGGTTTTTATAAAATGTTGAAGGTTTTTTATAAAATGTTGAAGGTTTTAATAAAATGTACATGTTGTCCCACTTTTACGCACAGCTTTGAAATATACGTATTTCTACTTATATCTCAAAATGCCATATACATGTCTGGAGAGAACAACCTGTTGAGCTATTGCTTACATCACCTATTTGACGTTTAGATAATATCTACATTTGGACTAATGGATAACATGCATGTTTTTCTTACAATTTATGTGGAACTTTAAGCTTCGATTTTCTTTTGTTACATCAATAAGAAAGATTTCGAATAAACTTGTTTTATTTAACATTTAAAATCCCAACATAATCATCGTCATTGATTCATTTGAAATCCCATCCAAAATAAGTAAATAAATATAATTTAGCACTTTTTATAAAAAAATAAAGAAGTGATCATTCTTCGGGTCGGGCGGTTACTGGCATGCTTGGCAACAGAAACACCGAAAGAGGAACATACATCAGAAAACAGCCATCTAGGCTCGGCAGTGACGTCGGAGAGAGAACACTGAAAGGACATTATTATACAAGAGGCAGAGGAAGAAGCAGAAGCTCAGTTGGTAGCGCATGGCGCTTGCAACGCCAGGGTTTGTGGGTTCAATTCCCACTGGGGGGGTCAGTATGAAAAATGTATGCACACACTAACGGTAAGTCGCTCTGGATAAGAGCGTCTGCTAAATGACTAAAAATAAAAAATAAAAAAAATGTAGCAGAGGGAGAAACATGGTACCATGGCTGAAAGCAGACACAGGCTAAAGGGGTCAATCCAAACATTAACCAAGGGCCTGATATAAAATATCTCGTACAAACAGCATTCTGAATCTACATATTTACAATCTACATTTACCATTGTGTTCTCATGCAGTATACTATACCTAAATATTGTACTTCCGTTTATTCTGTCTTGGAATGGGCTAGTCTAAAGTTCAATAATGATCGAGAACATTACATTAAATGCCATCGGTAATGCCCTTCATATGATGTGTATTCCTGTCAGCCACAATGTAAGACCAGTTTGCATACAGTGAACTGATGGGCTTTACTGAATATGAAAATGTGTCATAAGCACCTGTTATACATTTTGCTAAATAATGTTACAAAATGGTAAGTAAGTAGCGCTGCTCCAATTTTCTAAAGCAATGCATTTCTGCTGGCTCAAACCAAAGCTTATTTCAGCAACAGATTAATAAAATAAAAACGTGTTGATATGGACTGAGATACACGGTGACTTCTTCAAACGAAAGTTAATTTCCCTTTTCTTCCCCTCTCCTTTTATGATAAGAGTTCAAGTCATTTAGAGTCACTCGTCAGTCTGGACATGGTGACAGCGCTCATACCGGAAACATGTGGTGGCACCTGGCACATGCTGCACGGACAGGGCATCCCCGCGCCCCAGTGATGGAAACTGCTGCCCAGGGGGCCCGGGCCGGCCGAGGGCGCTTTCAGGAGTCCATGGTGGGGTCTGATCGAGGTGAGACCCGTTGTGGAGAGAGAGGCTACCGTGGAGACCGCCGGGGGAAGAAGTGGGTGGTGCACCGGGTGGGAGGCGTGGGAAACGGCCGGATGACCGGGCAGGGGTCCGGTGTGCGCCATGGTACCACAGGCGGAGGGGTGGAAGCTGCTGTGGTGGCCGCTGCCGTAGAACTCACTGACCAGCCTCTTCATCTCCTCCAGCGAGTTGCTCAGCATCAGGATGTAGTTTCTCGCCAGGAGGAGAGTGGCGATTTTGGAGAGCTTGCGCACCGAGGGCCCGTGGGCGTAAGGCATGACCTCCCGGAGACCGTCCATGGCGATGTTAAGGTCGTGCATCCTCTTCCGCTCCCGGCTGTTGATCTTCAGCCGCATCCCCTGCAGTTCGTTCTCTGAGAGCAGTTTACGGTCCTTCTTTGACAGCATTTTCAGGGTGATATCGTCGTCGTCGTCGGAGAGGCTCCGCAGGTCCGCGGGTATCTCTGGCAGAGAGTCGCTCTGTGTGGACGAGACAGTACCGGAGAAACCCACCATACGCTTCTTCATCGCATGCAGGAACATATCGTGCACCTCGGGGGAGGAAGGCCGGGTCGACATTCGGCTGGTATCGGAGTCCATGATGATCCTCGGGTTTATTCAGACAACGCAATAGTCTACGGAAAGAAAAGTAAACAAACCCATTTAGCATCAGATTTTTCAGAACCACTGGGATTAAAATGTAAAACTATGTGAACAGATTATAAGAAGATGCTACATGTTCAACCCAATTCTGTGTGCAATGGATTAACAAGAGAAGGTAAACAAACACATCCACGAAAGGACACGAGAAGGTTCTTGAAAGTTATGTTCTCAATGAAGTTCAAAACAAAGATTCTCAGATGAGGCTATTTTTATGACGAAAATCACAGCTGCCTAAATTACATATCAATGTTATCCCGAAAAGCAGACATGAAACCTACCGAGAGGGAGATGCAGAGCGCAGCTCGGTGCAGAGAAAGTGTCGCTGTTGAATCCACTTGTTACTCCCATTCACTACTGACAGCCCATTTGGCACGCACGGGCATGATGACAGGGTTTTATAGTTGACTTAACGATCCGGGGGCAAGTCACCGGGACAATGCCATGGCTTTTCCGACTGCCTGTCATCCATCCACCAATGGGCTTCTTGCGAACGAAGAGAGGGGAGGAGGCTTGGAGGAGTTAGGGGTCTTCAAATCTGATGTCATTACAAAGAAATTGGAGCTTCGTTAAATGAATGAATTAGACACACTCCGCATATGGCATCTTGTGAGGGAAAGAAGTTGTTTAGGCATGTAGCTGTTTTAATGATGTAGGCTAAAGAAATCTTATTGACCACCACAATATAATATAAATGTATTATGTTATTTATATAACATCAACATTATATAACATCCTTGCAGAAAATTCTGAAATTGACTACACTTTCTTTTGGGTAGATTCTAGACTTTTCGGTGGAAAAAGAACGAGCTGATTTCTCTCTTTTCAAATTCTACAGCAGGAGAGAACTGATGAGTGTTGATATACTTTCGTGAAATCATTTTATTATTTTTACCACATCAGTAACCCTGCCTAATCCATATGATGGAAAAAAGCAATACATGTTTTGAATATTCAAAGACGGTATTCGATAACTGTAAATTAAATTAAAACTGTAAATCAATTAACTTTTCATTATGAATAGGCTATTTATGATGAACATCTTCGCTTTTGGTAAGCTTACATTTAAGGTTATTTAATTTGCTGATTGTGTTTCTAAACGAAATAATTCCTCAGAAAATATCATAATAAACATGATCATAATTTGACAGCATACTTCGATAATCTTTTGTTTCCTGCTGTGAAATGAAAGCAATATTACTAACTCAATCAGGCCTTTGGAAATAACCAAAGAATAGTGATTAAGCTTTGTGCTACAATATGTTTACTGTGAGTCTTCTGTCGTTGCGCGCACAGCACACATCCACATCCACAAACACACACACGCACACACACACACACATACACACACTCTCTCTGCCCACGCCCATTTGAAGGCGCTGATTACGGTTTGAGCAATAGCGCTTATTGTTTTAACCCGACGACCCCTTGAGCACCCAACAGCTGACGGCGTGAGACACGACTCAAACCGTTAGATGGCATTTATTTTAACGTTAATAAACGAAGCCTGCAAAAATAGTTTTTAACGGTTATGATCAGTAACATTTCAATTAGTCCAATATGACTAACAGGAGCGCAGGCCACTTTTGGCAGCCAGGCGATAATAAAGAGAACAAAACAAGGGACTCTCTGGCGCTCTGATATAACTGAAGCTGACAAGGTCATTGTCCGAGAAATAAGTGGAACCAGTCACAAACTACAGGCAAAGCGAGTAAACATACATACAAGTAGACCTACATATCATAATAATAATAATAATAATAATAATAATAATAATAATAATAATAATAATAATAATAATAATAATAGTTTAATGTATTATTTAGGCCTACTCAGTTATTTTTCATAAATCCTCCACCACCCATTTTAGCATTAAGACCATTGTGCAATATAAACTACTTTACCTTGAGGACAATGTTTTTACCCAGCTATGCTATCCAGTAAAATATTGTTACGATAATAAACTGGCCATATTATATTATACAGTGCCTTCAGAAAGTATTCACACCCCTTGACTTTTTCCACATTTTGTTGTGTTGCAAATTGGAATTAAAATGGATTTAATTGTCTTTTTCTTTCAACGATCTACATAAAACACTCTGTAATATCAAAATGGAAGAAAAATACTACATTTAAAAAAAGATTAATGAAAAATAAAACACTAATATAGCTTGATTAGATAAGTGTTTAACCCCCTGAGTCAATACATGTTAGAATGATCTTTGGCAGCGATTACAGCTGTGAGTCTTTTTGGGTAAGTCTCTAAGAGCTTTTGCTCACCTGGATTGTACAATATTTGCCCATTAATCTTTTTATAATAATAATAATATGCCATTTAGCAGACGCTTTTATCCAAAGCGACTTACAGTCATGCGTGCATACATTTTTTTTTTGTGTACGGGTGGTCCCGGGGATCGAACCCACTACCTTGGCGTTACAAGCGCCGTGCTCTACCAGCTGAGCTACAGAGGACCACGAACTTTTTTAAAAGTCTTCAAGGTAAGAAACTCTCAGTGTATATTTGGCGTTGAGTTTTAGGTGATTGTCCCGCTGAAAGGTGCATATGTCTCCCAGTGTCTGTTGGAAAGCAGACTGAACCAGGTTTTCCTCTGGGATTTTTCCTGTGGTAACTCTATTTCATTTCTTTCTATCCCCCCAAAAACCTCCCTATTCCTTGTCGATTATGAGCCATAACATGACGCAGCCACCACCATGCTTGAAAATATGGAGAGGGGTACTCAGTGATGTGTTGTGTTGGATTTGCCCCAAACATAATATACAAAATATTCAGGACAAAAAAAGTTAATTTCATTGCCACGTTTTTTTGGAGGATTACTTTAGTGTCTTGTTGCAAACTGGATACATGTTTTTGGAATATTTTTTATTCCGTACAGACTTCCTTCTTTTCACTCTGTCATTTAGGTTAGTATTGTGGAGTAACTACAATGTTGTTGATCCATCCTCAGTTTTCTCCTATCACAGCCATTAAACTCTGTAACTGTTTTAAAGTCACCATTGGTCTCATGGTGAAATCCCCGAGTGGTTTCCTTCCTCTCCGGCAACTGAGTTAGGAAGGACGCCTGTATCTTTGTAGTGACTGGGAGTATTGCTACACCATTCAAATCGTAATTAATAACTTCATCATGCTCAAAGAGATATTCAGTGTCTACTTTCTTTATTTTTACCCATCTAACAATAGGTGCCCTTCTTTGCGAGGCATTGGAAAACCTCCCTGGTCTTTGTGGTTGAATCTGTGTTTGAAAGTCACTACTTGACTGAGGGACCTTACAGATAATTGTATGTGTGGGGTACAGAGATGGGTTGGGTACAGAGATGGTTATAAAATAATGTTAGCCACTATTATTGTGCTCAGTGAGTCCAACTTATTATCTGACTCCTTAAGTACATTTTTACTCCTGAACGTATTTAGGCTTTCCATAACGAAGGGCTTGAATACTTATTGACTCAAGACATTTCAGCTTTTATTTATTTTTCAATAATTTGTAAACATTTCTAAAAACAAAGTTCGACTTTGATATTGTGGGTTATTGTGTGTAGATCAGTGGCACAAAATCTCAAGGGGAGTGAATCCTTTCTGAAGGCACTGTATGTAATTGCATGAAGAAACTAGGCCTTTGTAACTGTGGTATTTGTGCAACTTATTGTGTACTGTAGCCTTTTTTGTGACCCACTTTAAATGCATTTAATGTGCATGTTTAGGCCTATTATAATTCAATGAACCATCTGTAACAATAGATTACTTATGCATTCTGTACACTGTATTTTTCTTTTCGCAGTGCAGAGTAGGCTAGAACTATCCGCGTTTCCTTCCAACCATTTCATGCGGATGAATATTACCTGACGCGTGATAAAGGTCACGACCGGGCTGATGGAAACAGGAAAACAATTTTATAAATGCCCGACAGACAATTTTTTCGTTCTACATGGTGGGATCCTTTTGTGTCTGTAAAATGTATTAGTATAATAATTAATATAATAACCATCATATCGAAGTAAACCTCCCACTACGACTCGGGAAAGCGTGCAGTTTATTAGGCTACAGATTAAATAAATAATGATGAACTTCACAGGGTGTTGAATGTGCAAGGGGATGAGCTTGATGCTCCTTTCCAATAAATATCGAGGGGTCTTGTTCTGGTGACATGGATGATCGATGCTTGACTGCAGTTTGACAAATACAAATAATATCGTTCTTATCCATGATAATCTCATAATGTTGGTAGCCTACCACCACTGGATCTGCGAGCTATTGGCTAGAGCGCATTTGCCAGAGTGGGCACATTTGCTATATAACTCAACAGTTTTTGTGAGAAAACCAACCATCAGTAGAGTTGAAAATGCTATGGAAACCCATTTAACTCGTTTTTTTTTTTTTTTTTCATTCGGTACATGGGAATAACGGCAAAAGTAATTTTTATGTGCACTAGGTCATATTGTTTCATGCAGATTTTAGAATATTGGCATGAAAATCTGTCGCAAATTGGATGGAAACCTAACTACTGACAGTCTATTTTTTCCCATATGTGACACGGATTTTCTTTCTCTTTGCAAAACCATTATAAAGCACTTACAGGCATAGGCCACCATATGCATATGATTACATACAGAACTCTGATTTATAGAATCTCTATAGAATCACCATATGTTTAATTAACTGAGATATAGCCTAGCCTAGTTTGTTTAATGTGTTTGATGTAGAAAAAGTCCGGCTAGTAACCTTACAAATATTGGCACACAAATATAAGTGCACCATATTTAGGCTAGTAGGTCATATCATGAGTAGGACTACATTTGTCCTGTGAGCAGTATTATACCAGCAATAACCAGTGGATCATGTGCACAGCCGAAGGATTAAGAACCGGGAGTCATTGCGCCTGCACCCATGCAGAAGACACGGCGCTGAATAGGCTACGTCTGTT